TTTTTTTAAACTTTTTTTTTTTGCACACTTTAAATTCATGCATAATTAAATTCATGACATATCCTCAGGGGCATAGCCAGAAATGTTTTCAGGGGTGGCCAGGTAAGGCCCAGTGATTTCTTTGGGGTGGCCAAAAAAAAAAAAAAAAAATCTTGCTTAAAATTTAGAGAATATCATTTAATATGCATCTAACTGTGATTGTGTAGCCTGAGTGTAATACCTTAAAACGAATGTGGAATGGAACACAAATAAAATTAATTTCATTTCATGTAACTGCACCTCAACAAAACACTGGTTAAAAACGTCTCAGGTTACTTGTGTAACCATGGTTCCCTGAGTAGGGAACGAGACACTGCGTCCTCTAGGGGGCGCTATTGGAGTATCCCTTTAAACCGTAGAGCTCCTTGATAGCCTATAACGGATCAAACGACAAATTGTCAGTAAACTGTCTCCAAAGTTATTAAATATGCAACAGCATGTGCAGATGGCTTTTCATTTATTTGTTCTATCACACGAAATGTGTATATTTGAATAATGTAGGGGAGAGTGGGGCACAACCTAACGCGTTTTGACTTTCTCAGTTAGTGTAAATTCACATAGGGCTCAGAGAATAATTTTTTACTCATAAATTCACACTTATCTGGTACAAATATGTTTTTGTTTCATAATTACAGTGTATACTTTTTCTTTATTTACCCCAAAAGAATGGAAGTGAAATGTGACAACATGCCCCAAAGGTGGGGCTCATTGTAAAATGACCATATGACAGCTTAAAATGTTATTTGACCAAATGAAAAAAATATACAAGACAAGTGATCACAACACAGCTATACAGCATACAACAATGTGGCAAATAGATGAAGAAACTCATTCAGACATTCAGAAAAACATATTTAAACAGAAATTACCTTTTTAGATGACCTTTCAGATGTATTTAATTATAAAAACTTTTATAATCTATAATAAAATTAAACTTATTTCATATTTCCTCCAAATCATATGTTTTTTTTTTGGGTATCAAAACAAATGAATGATACATTGTGTAGGAATTTGCACATGTGACAATGTAAGCATCATAAATGACCTCTGTTTTTAATAAAGATTGATTAGTAATGGTCTCTAATAAGCCCTTCATAAAAACAAGCCCTACAATTTAGTGATGGGAAGTCCGGTTCTTTTGAATAGTTCGTTCAATGAACTGGTGGACAAAAGCGCTGACGCCCTGTCTGGATAACATCCCTCAGATGAAACACTGGCGGACTGATGACAGCTCACTCAGGCCGGGTCTAAGGTAAGACTCCAGTCCAGTCTGTGCTGAAACGCTACTGTCAATCAAACTATCGTGGGAGGGGACTGTTTTTGTGACGTCACACAGACAGGCATCTGAGATCGGCTTGATTTGAGAAAGGGGTAAAGGCTACCGTTCGTTTGGTAGGACACGCATGCTCAGTATATCAGGGGCTCATACTCATCGGTTCTCTCAGTCTGCACAGCAAGTTTCAGCGCAGCTGGAGTTACAGGAGTAACATTCTTTTGAACGGTTCGTTCATGAACTGGAAATTCAATTAATAAACATGTTACACAGACACTTCTTATATAGCGGTACAGTATTGCATGATTTGTAGATTATATTTAATAGATTACACTTTGTACAAACATTTGCAATTAGTTTGTAAAAGGTATCATTACTACATGCTTGCATCTCTTTTTAGGAGCACCTCCTGATCAATGACAGAAATGAATCTTCTCATTACGAGGCGATATTTGACTTCTTAAAGTGGTTTGCAGGGACTTTTTTTTAACCTTTATAATGGCATTTTTCTAACCTTATTAAATGTGTCATCTTTTATGTCAAATTGATAAATTTGTATATATAAACTTTAAATATGTTTTTTATTAAAACAATAAATTCAATTAGAATAATAAGACACAATCAGGAAAAGTAAGTTACCAAATGAAATCAGTTTCAACAAAATGAAGTTGGCACACAAAAGTGGCATTTAGGTATATTTACAGACTGTCATGAATGCATTTAAATTCATAATAACAATGTAATGAGATTAATGTTTTAAATATAAAGTTTTAAATATAGAAATACTACATCGGAGTGTCTATTTACACAAAGTGCAAATAACCCACCTTGTTGCCAGAGGCTATTTAAACTAGCTCCACCCACCAATGTCTGGTTGGCATCGACAACATTATAATGCGCATACAGAAGTGTTTGGTACTTTACAGTTTAAATCAGGGGTCTTCAACGTTTTTCAGGGTTAGGACCCCTTAGGTGACAGAGACATGGAGCAGGGACCCCCTGATACAAAATGTGTCAAGCAGAGCTACATATTAAAGTGGAAGTGACGCAGTCAGTCAAGGTTACATTATTTAGTAAACTGATTTCTACTTCAAACATCTCTGATTGGCCATTGTTCAAAAGAGATCAACAAACATGTCTGTGATTGTCTAAATGTCTCACCGCTGCAAAAACACGCTGTAAATAGGAACATTTGTGACGCAGTCAGTCAAGGTTACATTATTTAGTAAACTGATTTCAACTTCAAACATCTCTGATTGGCCATTGCGTTCAAAAGAGATCAACAAACATGTCTGTGATTGTCTAAATGTCTCACCGCTGCAAAAACACGCTGTAAATAGGAACATTTCACATTCTCCAGAGCTCAAACTCAAAAACTCAATGGAGCATTCAGGGTGCTTCTATTTAAAACTGACTTTGTGATGTTTTTTACCCATGTTTTATTTTATTTTTTAACAAAAAATTATTTGTGATCAAACATTAATTGGTTAACCGCTGCGGACCCCCTAGGGGATGTGGACCACCGGTTGAAGACCCTTGGCTTAAATAATTGTCTGGTCCAAAAATAAGCTTCATTTTCTATATTCAAAACATAATTTTTTGTTTATTTCTTCCAATTTTTGAGTGAAATAGACCAGTTAATTTTTTGACAGTGTTTGTGAGTTTCGTCCAATTGTATAATTGCTTTAATGAAGATGTGAGCCAGAAAGCTAATTAAAAATAATTATTCGAATCAGATGAAATCATTTACCTGTACCTGCAGTATATTTAAAGGCACTTGTAGTATATTTAATAGGTTTAATAAC